GGTCATTGTCAACTTGGAAAATCATTAGCAAATAAAATATGACTTAACTGAAACAAACTCAGCATGGAGCTGCATTATTTTAAGTGAATGTTGTAACATAACTTGAAGAAGAATTACTAACTGTCACTCCCAATGACAATGAAATAAATGAAGTGGCTATGTAACTTTTCCCCCAAGTCATTTCTATAATTAAGTATGGAAATAGAATTTATGAAGAATATAAAGTCCCAAAGTGCATCAATTTAAACACTAATGGACTGCTTTCCAGTGTGGCAGCACACAGGTAGTTCCCAGCATGTTATCATTAGCAAATATGTCAGTGTCATAATTCCAACTGCAAACTCTGCTTGTGAAATCTGCCTCTGAAAACTAAATGTCTAATGATTACCTGGGCTCTTCGAAAACACAGAGAGAGAAAGGCTAAATTTTATAATTCAAAATGTTATATAAAATAATTTATACATAAAATTTCTCTTTATACATTAAATATAGCTAAAACATCACTTATTGGCTAGAGTCTAATACAACTCTCAATTTCAGAGTTGCTTCTATATTTAAGCTATATAAGATTCCTTCAGTAGATGCTATTCATCAGTCCAGAGAAGAACCACAATAATTATCCATTTATTGGATTATTTTCTTAATTTTCTATTAATATTCACATCTGGAAACTGAGCCCACAGCTTAAAAAAATGGTATTATCAGAAATTTGGATAAGATTTGAATTAACATTCCTATATTATCACCTTCACAGTAGCCTGTGAGAAACCTGGGGGGATTTTTTTTGCAAGAAAAACAAGAAAATAAAGCCTTCAGCTACTGAGCTTTACCACCTTATCTCCAGTTTCTCTCAAATTCAAGATGGATATTTCAGAAAATATCACAATTCAATTCAAATTAAACTTTGTTGAATCTTTTCTGAATACTAAGAACTGTGTGTTTAATTTATATATAAATCTATGTTTTTACATAATATGCTTTCTTAAAACAAATCTAGATATTTAGGCTAATAAACACAAGTTGGATTGACTCAATAATTACTAAAATAAGCTGTCAAGTAAACTAGACTTATTAAAATTGTGGGATAAATTTTCTTCTTATTTTGGTCTTCTATTAATAATATTTAGCCAGAATGAAATCAAATGTTAAATGTCAAAGTAATGTTTATCTATATGTGAAAAGGTTTTGATTTTTTTCCAAGATTTGTTTTTGCTTTTTAGAGAGAGAATAAGGGAGGAGAGAGAGAAACATCAATCTCCTCCATGGCCCCCGCAACCTGGGCATGTGGCGTGACTGGGACCAGCAACCTTTTGGTGCATGGGATATCCCCCAAGCAACTGAGCTACAATGGCCAGGGCTGTGAAAAGGTTTTGTACATCTGGGGAGGCTTGGAGGCATTACTCTGGTCTTCTAATAGATGACATATGATTCCAAAATAAAGAAATAACCTAAATAAAAATATAATTTTAAAGCAAGAATAACATTTTGAGATAGGTTAAGAGTAATGAGAAAAGTGTTTAAACCATTATTTTTGTTATTGTTCCTTGCATAATTTTTGTTAAATACTGAACATTTTAAATGGTAGAGTGTGGCAACTCTGGAAATCAGAATCTCCCTCAGCCCAAGAGGCTGGTTTGTTTGTTTGTTTAGTGATTTTCCTGGACCAGTTCTTTAAATTCTGTATTTATCATGTGTGTCCACTTAAGTCTCAGAATGAATAGCTGAGTAGTCAGCCGGGTAATGGTTGGAAAGAGGTTTCCTTAAATGCTTTGAACCAATAACTCTCCAACCTTTGCAGACATGCTCTGTGCATGTGTTGAGGCACACCTTCACTACTCAAGGAGGCAGTTTAAAGGTTGTGCCTTAGCCTTCACTTCCTGCTTGTGTAGAGCTTGAAGGTCACATAAAGATAGGAGCTTTGTACCTTGTTACATCTGTTTTTTGCAGTGATGGGTTAGCAATTCTGTAACTACTTTCAGAGTTTTATAGGATTAAGCAAATATACTGATATAATGGGAGCCAGATTTCTCACTGTAGGAGAAGGGAGTTCAAACATGCAAAAAACTAGAATAAACCTATGGGGTTGGCTTAGAATTGGGAGGTTTCAGTACAAACTCACAGTTTTAACAGATAGAGAAGAAATAAGTATATATTTCTAATTTTGTCCCCTGAGGAGGCCTAAAAACAATGATAACACAGTAACAATGAATGTATCTAGTCACTAGTGCATTGATCTTGTTTGGATATCATTTTCCACTAAATGGAAGTAGGGCTTTTTGAAAGAATGACTAGTTCCAAGGTTGGGACAGGGGGGAAAATGAGGTGAAGCTGAAATGTCTTACTGTGCCCGAAGGTGAGGAAATGCTCAAAAAAATGATGGGAATATGTAAAAAACAAACAAAAAAAAAAGATGCAAGAAGCAGTTTGAAAGGGCTCCCAAGGATCAAGTCTGAGGTAATTTAACCTCAAAATAAATAACGAGTAATAAATTATAACCCTTTCAGTAAAACAGAAATTCTGAATCCATACTGATATAAATGAGAAAGAAGATAAAGTTCTTCTTTACACAGTGTCAAAAAATAAATGTGAAAAAGATGGAGTTAGAAAATCACAATTTGATAAACATCACAGTAAAACTAATTCAAGCATCATCAATGGATGTTAAACTAGTGAGAGTTTGATGAAGAACATAACATATACTTATTCTCAGAGTAACTCCTCTATAATAAATTTTTTTAAATAGTAACTACATTGAATAAAAATGGAAGACACCACTTTAAGTTAACATCAGCAATTACAGGATAAATTACATCCTGTGCTTTGTATGCCGTGCTTTGAGAAGCATATATCACGTCTATAGTATTCCTGCCAAAATATATTCTAATCATGAGAAAATATACACAAACCCAAAATTGAGACATAGTCTACAAAATAAATAGCCTGTACTCTTCAAAAAGTCAAGGTTGCAAAACACAAAGAAAGACTAAAGAGCTGTTCCAAATGAAAGGAATCTAAAGAGGCATGAAAAATAAATGATGTAATACCAGATTGGCCTCTGGACCAAAAAAATTTTTAAAAAGATCACTGAGGCAATTAGCAATATTTTCAATAGATCTATAAATTAGATAATAGTATTATATGAATGAAAGTTTCGTGATTTTGATAATTATATTCTGGTTATAAAAGAGAATGTCTTGTTCTCTGAAAATTTACAGTGAAGTGTTTAGGGGTAAAGGAGCATCATGCCTTAGACATACTCTCTAATTTCTTAATAAAAATAATAAATGTATAGGGAGAAAAAATGATATAGCAAATGTGATAAAGTATTAACTGCAGGATCTGAATGAATGGCATATGAGAATTTTTTGTATTAATCTTATAACTTTTCTATCAGTCTAAAACTATTTCAAAATATAAATTATTTTTTAAAAAAGAAATTAACTATAAACAATGGATGAATTAGATCTAATATATGTATACATATATATATATATATATATATATATATATATATATGGTTAAACCTAGAAAATATAACATTAAGTGAAACAGTAAGACACCTATATACCAGTTGATACCTCTTACTTGTATGTTTTAAACCATACAAGTTATTCATGCATATAATAAAATTTAGTGTTTACTTTAACAAAAGGAGAAGAATGAAGACAGGGAAATTGGGTAGGTTAATAATTGTAATAATATATTTATTTTAAAATATATCTAATTCAAGTGTGAGAAAATTTTATGTTTTATATGTTATGAAGTGTACATGGTATCAGTTATTATGTTTGTACTATTAAATGTGTAATTATATAAATTACATTAAAAATATTTTAAGAAAAAAACTTTCAATAATTCAAAGAATCTAAGACCCAAAAATGCCTTAATATACCTATTGTCACAAACAAATGGTTTCTGAAGGTGAGCCTAAGCCTAAAGTTGGAGACATAAACAAACAAAAAACTATTGGGAATGAAGGTCAAGCCAAATCCTGAGAGTGCTTATTCTTTGCCCAAGGTGTCTCTTCAACCTCTTCTTAAATCTACACTTAACTTTTGCCATTTTCCTCACTAGGATTACTTCTTCCAGATCTCATAAAAGTGTGAAAATGCAATACATTTAAGGCACTATATATTTCAGTCTACTAATTAAGTAAAACCAGACATCTCACCCATCTATATTTATTCTCTGTATTCATGGGTAACTCATGAAATCTTGCTTCAATTCAACTTTTGCCAAGTTTGAAATTTAAAACCTAGACAAGATTGAGCTTATATATAGGATGTCCCAAAAAAAATGTATACACACTTTAACAGCTGGTAACTCAATTTTCATTCCATTTCAGGGTTAACTGATTTGAAATAATGGGTGAAGCCAGACTAAGCTTTGAATGAAGAAAATTTATCCTTAAGTGCCATTAGTCTTTCTTTATGGGGATACATAAAAAACAAAATTTATGGTACAAAACCTGCAACAGTCAATGAATTGAGGTTGCACAAATACCGAACAAAATGATTCTTGATGTTTGCGATTCCATTGCTTTGAGTTATCAGCAGTGCCTGGACCACAATAGTCATCAGTTTGAAAACACGTATTGACAAAAAAGATTTATTCATTCCTATATTCATTTAAATTTTGAAAATGAACTCTCTTAATAATGACTTTATAATCATTCAAAGTGCATATACATTTTTGGGACATCCTGTATTATGTTTGATATTTTAATAAGAGAAGTTCCTTACCTTATTTATAATCATTTATAAAATAAATAATATACTATCAAATTCTAATTCCTTTATAATTAAATTTTCTTTTTCATTTTCAAATTCAAGAAAAGAATATCTATGTATTGCATATGATTATACATTATAGCAGAGACTTCTAGACTTCTAGTATTTCCTCTTTTTCCTAGACTATGTATGTCCCAGACTCCTTTGGGATTTAAGTATGTCTATGTGCTAGAGCTTCAACTCACAGGCCTGGCCTACAAAATCCTCCCACTAGCAGTCCACCATCTTCTTTTCCTTCTGCCAGCTGGACGCAGAAGACAACAAGCTCTCAGGGTATGAAAGTAACGCAAATGGAATAAACCTGTGTCCCTGAATCTCTACCTGGAGGAAAATCTCTTAACAAAGATTTCCCTTATTGTTGAGGAGAAAAGAAAGATTTCTGATGTATTAAGCCACTAATGTTTGGGATTCTATTTGTGACTGCAATTAGTGTTACATTAACCAAAATAATTATAATTAATTTTCTAATTGTCAATATGAAATGCTTTATACTCACAAACTGAGGTTTATAGTATGCTGGACCTAGTGTGATATCACTAGCAGGTGGAAGATGTTTTATAATACTGCCATCCTCATTAATATGATAACCATATGATCGTCCATAAGAAGGAATTGAAGGAACAATCATTCTGAAAACTGAAGGTAACCTTGAAATTTTCTGTAAAAAAAACATTTTATATTATTTACTCAAAGGCAAGAGAGAAGAGAAGGAATGAAGAATCAAATATTGAAATTTACTAAAAAGCAACTATTAAATATTGATTTTATGAATTTCATAATATAAACCAAAAATGTTGGTTCTATAAAAGTAATTTCAGGGGGTGAATTCAAGTCTCACTTCATCATATAAATCAAGAGGATATATAAAGGGTGTCCCAAAATTCACGCAAGAAGTAATTTTGATAGAAAACACAGGCTTATGATTAAAAATTGTAAATTTTTTATTGATTCATAAAGTACACAGTATAGGGTTATGTATGGAATAGCATATCAGGTAAATGGCCTCCAAGGCTTTGCTGGCATATACACACTCTTTTGTTGAAATTTTCCATGACCGTTTTGCATAAATGTGGCTGAATTTCGTTGATACAGTGCTCAATTTCCTCCTTCAAGGCGTGGGTGGTCGTGGGCTTGTTGGCAAAAACCTCAGACTTCAAAAAACCCCAAAGAAACAAGTCCAACGGCGTTAAATTGCATGATCTGGGCGGCCAATTCTGATCACCAAAACGGGAAATTACACGACCAGGAAATGACTCATGCAGTAATTGAATTGTTTCTTGGGCTGTATGGCATGTGGCACCGTCTTGTTGAAACCACATGTCGTCCACATCCATATCTTGCAATTTAGGCACAAAAAACTGGATTATCATGTCGCGATAGCGAGCACCATTAAGTTCAAATCTTGCGTGAATTTTGGGACACCCTTTACCATTACTATTAAAACCACCTTCAGAGATAAGGCGTCTCTTTCTCACTTAGCTCATTTATCTTGCTTAAAACAGGCATTCATTCCTATAGTCACATCAACAATCAACATTACTTGTGTTATGCTATCAGAGTATCTGCTATGCAAAAACAAACAATATATTCTGTAACATTTCCTGATTTCATTCCTTCCCAGCTCCTGACTATCCCCATATTATTGGTGCCCTTTATTAATAATCTAACTGTGCAGATTGTGTAGCAAGAAAAATGTCTATGACATAATGCTAAAAGGAAATAAAAATATAAAATATGAAATTTAATCTATGACTACAGCTATGTAAATTATGTGAAATTATATATAAGTGAATAAAGTGATATACATACATGATTTAATACTGAAAGGAACTATGAAAAAATTAACATAATATCAATATTAGAGTCATGAATTTCAGGGTAATTATACTTCTTTTTTTTTAAAAATATATTTTATTGATTTTTTACAGAGAGGAAGGGAGAGAGATAGTTAGAAACATCGATGAGAGAGAAACATCGATCAGCTGCCTCCTGCACATCTCCTACTGGGGATGTGCCCACAACCAAGGTACATGCCCTTGACCGGAATTGAACCTGGGACCTTTCAGTCCGCAGGCCGACGCTCTATCCACTGAGCCAAACTGGTTTCGGCGGTAATTATACTTCTTTCATATTTTTCTTTAGTAAAAAATATCTTATATGACCTGGCTGGTTTGTCTCAGTAGATAGAACGTTGACCCATGGACTGAAGGGTCCTGGGTTAGATTTTGGTCAAGAGCAAATACCTCAGTTGCAGGCTTGATCCTCAGCCAGCCCTGGTCAGGATGCATACAGGAGACAACCAATCAATGCGTCCCTCACATTGATGGTTCTCTTTCTCTGTCTCTCCCCCTCCCTTCCACTCTCTCTAAAATCAGTGGAAAAACATCCTCAGATGAGGATTAACAAACAAAAAAAAGAAGAGAAAGAAAAAAATACTACTATAAAATATATCAAAATACAGACATTTAAGTCATTTACCAATCTGGAAAATTCCTTATTAAGAATATATTGATCCTCTATAATAAATAAAGTTATTAAGTTAATTAAATAATTAATTGATTTTATAATTGGTGCACATATGCCCAATATATAATTATGTTATGAAAATACTGTCACTGACTGAAATTTTTTTATCATTAGAGACAACGATTAAGTAGTTTTAGTGATATTTAATGATACTGATTACCAAATTAAAACAGGAAAGCACTAAATAGCTTCCCCTCTACTCTCTACTTTCAAACCTTATTTGCATCATGTCAAGACTTTCCAAAATACGGCCCCCACCTCCTCCCCAGCTTCTATTCCTGCTACTCTCCTGTGCACCAAGTATTCCAAAGACCTTTGTTCTCCTCTGAACATACCATGTCATTAAATACCATAATGTCTTTATTCATGTGTTTTTTCTCTTCCAGAGTGGGGTTTTTTTACAATTCTTTTTAACTACTTAGTGAATCCTTCAAGATGCAGTTCAATTGTGATATCCTTAATCCCTCAAAAAACTCTCTTCTCTGGGCTACTACTAAACATTTTATTATGATACTGGAGGCCCATTGCATGAAATTTGTACACAGGTAGGGTCCGTAGGCCTGGCCAGCAATCAGGGTCAATCAGGGCCTTCCAGCTGCTGTCCGGGGCCTTCTATCCCCAGCTGTCAGCTGCTGGCTGGGGCCTTCCTTCGTTCCATGCTGCCCCCTGGTGGTCATCACATGTCATAGTCAGCAATAGAACTCCTGGTCTCCCAGTCCAACTCCCATGGGGACACTTTGCATATTAGCCTTTTATATATCCTACTAGAAGCCCAGCTGCCTCAGCCCTTGCAGCCCTGGCTTCATCCAGAAGGTCGTCTAGAAGGTCATCTGGCCAGTTCTGCTGTTCAGCCGTTCAGTAGATTTGCATATTATGCTTTTATTATTATAAATATAATAAAAGGCTAATATGCAAATTGACCGAATTGCAAAATGACCAGTCGCTATGATGTGCACTGACCACCAGGGGAAAGACACTCAATTCAGGAGCTGCCTCCTGGTGGTCAGTACGCTTCCACAGGAGAGCGCTGCTCAGCCAGAAGCCAGGCTCATGGCTGGCAAGCACAGCAGCAGTGGCAGGAGCCTCTCCCGCCTTCGTGGCAGTGCTAAGGATGTCCAACTACCAGCTTAGGGCCAGCTGGCAGTCGGACATCCCCTGAGGGCTCCTCGACTGCGAGAGGGTACAGGCCAGGTTGAGGGACCCCCCTGAATGCACGAATTTCGTACACTGGGCCTCTAGTATATATGTTTATTAAAATATCATTTCATCAACTTTTTTATACTGAATTTCATTCATTATTTTCCTGTTAAAATTATAGATCCCAGGGAGCAGTGATTTGTATTCTATATATTATCAGTGCCCGGCTTTATGGCTGATACTCATAGTTACTGAAAAAATGTCTGGTAAATCCTTGCATGAGTAAGTAAACATTTACGTGTCTCCACACATGAAATGGAGAAAATTTAAATCCTATATAATAAAAGGCTAATATGCAAATTGACCAACCAGCAGAACGAGCACTTGCTATGACACACACTGACCACTAGGGGGCAGACACTCAACGCAGGAGCTGCCCCCTGGTGGTCAGTGCACTCCCACAGGGGGAGCACCTCTCAGCCAGAAGCCAGGCTCATGGCTGGCAAGCACAGAGGCAGCAGCGCTAAGGATGTCCAACTGATGGCTTAGGCCAGTGGTTGGCAAACTCATTAGTCAACAGAGCCAAATATCAACAGTACAATGATTGAAATTTCTTTTGAGAGCCAAATTTTTTACTTAAACTATACAAGTAGATACATTGTTATTAACTTAATTAGGGTACTCCTAAGGCTTAGGAAGAGCCACACTCAAGGGGCCAAAGAATCGCATGTGGCTTGCAAACCGCAGTTTGCCGACCACTGGCTTAGGCCCACGAGGGAGCAGGCCTAAGCCATCAGGGGGTCATCCCCCAAGTGCTCCCAGATTGCAAGAGGGCACAGGCCAGGCTGAGAGAACCCCCCCCCCCCCGCCAAGTGCACAAATTTCGTGCACCAGGCCTCTAGTATACTAATCTCATTGTCATTGCACTGACATTATTCAACTGAGTACTGAACCCTAAAATATATTCTCCTAAACAAACAGGAAACTAATTCAAATTTAATTAATATGAGTTATGTGAAGAAGTTATGGCAAGAGAAGATGGAACCACTCAAAAGAAACCATGACCAAAATCTGAAAGATTACATTATTTATTTCAAAGAGGTAGGCCTTTGGTGTAAAAATTATTCATTTACATAACACCAACATACCTTTTCAAACATATTACCTGCTAGTCCCCTACACAAATTCCTCATTCCAGTCAAATAATATTATATATATATATATATATATATATATATATATATATATATATATATATATATCTTTACCATTTAAATGTTAAGCTTTTTATTTCAGGAATCATGTTTTAAATTTCACTGACTGTATTAACCACTTGAACAGAGTTTCATATATAAACACATATACAGGTAAACCATTGAGATGGTTTCTAAAAATCTTCCTTACTTTCTGTTCACCATGGATATAGGAAGTGACTATAGATTTATCCAAAGCAAAAAAAGAAGTTCGATGGCAATACAATTAAAAACTTAAGTATACAAAATCAAGTGTTCATTTAACTATAAATAACTATAATATGGATACTAATATACCTACTACTTTTTATAGTATTGCTTTTTAAATGCACTTAACATCACAGAAAACACTGAACCGTTTCTACTTTAACTAAAAGAAATGTCATTAGAAGCATACTTTAAAATTGCAACCTACTGATTGAAGATGCTCTTTAGCCTCTAGAACTTTTCTCTTCATGGTATCTAAGGCTCCAGGACAAGACTGATCATAGCTTGCCGGTCCTGGACTATCGGAAATAAACTTCTTAAAACGTTTCTCCCGGTTTTGTAGACTATGGCCTCCTTTTATATTACACTAAATTGAAGAGAAAAAAATGAAGTAATTAAAAGAAGCACTTTATAATGAATACCTATTTGATAAGTACATGTTTATATGAACAAATAGTTTTTAAACTCAACCTGAGAAAATTAAGGCCCTTGACTGAAGACCTAGTCCTAAGAGGATGAGAAACTGACAATGATACCTGTCAGTTTTAACTCTAAACTCAAACTAAAATTTACTCAGAGCACTCTAAGAAAATGAAAAACTCAGTTTTAGAATAGGTATCAGAGACACAGGAGTCTCCAAAGCTGTGGAGCAAAAATAAAGAGTGTATAGCCCAGCCAATGTGGCTCAGTGGTTGAGTGTAAACTTATGAACTAGGAGGTCACAGTTGGATTCTGGGTCAGGGCACTTGCTAGGGTTGCAGGCTCAATTCCCAGTGGGGGTTATGCAGAAGGCAGCCAATCAACAATTCTCTCTCATCACTAATGTTTCTATCTCTCTCTCCCTCTCCCTTCCTTTCCGAAATCAATAAAAATATTTATTTTTAAAAGAGTGTATGCTTACAGGCTCATGGAGAATTTATACCTCTGAAATGAGCTAAAAAATTCTGGTATTTATATTGCAAGGAAAAAGTAAATCTTCTAAGCTTGCTACAATTATTTATTTTTGTGAATAACATTTTGGTCATTTCTAATGATATTTATGTAGCTTTACTGGCACTTGCTTGATTGTATGCTCAGATTAATTTTAAACATTTTTTTATTGCAGAGAAGGCACTAGGAAATGTCTTCCATGCCTAATATCTGAATTCTCTCGAATCAGAATTATCAACTGGCTAATTGCCAGTTTATTCAGATAAAATTCCATCACAGTTTCTATAAACAGTCATAGTGCAGTCATTCCAAAGATGATTCATAATAGTGGCTGGCATTTGACTAATCAGATACAATTTTTTTTTAAGTCACCGATTTATAAACAGATTTTTTCACATGATATATATATATATATATATCAGTTGTTCACAATCACTATTCACTGAGCTTATCTCTAGTTTGCATCTTATTTACCTTCATTTGGCTTTTAAGAAGTACACAGTAGAGGTCTTCTTTTAAAAAAAATGAGTCAAATTATATTCTTAAATAGCCAATTCACTATTTGATTACTGTTTTAGTAAGATCAGAATTCCTATGTTTAAAGAGATTGGATATATAATAAACTTTAATGATTTTGCAAAAAAACATTACAAGTTATATAAAAAGTTAAATCACTCTAAGAGAGAAGGCCTCCTCAAATTTTGATTATGTGAAAGCCATTACTATGGTCTCTGGGATCTTAAAACTCAAACTGCAATTTAAATTTACATTGAATACTTTTACAGAAGATTTAAAAATTGATCTAGATTTTTTTAAACTATGATACAAATTAACCAGAATATTTTCAGGTTATTCATATTTCATAATTACTAATTCTACTGATTTTATAAGAGGTTACAAAAGGAACTGCCGTATGTCAGATAAATGACCCAAAAATATATTACCGATTGTGCATTTTATATGAAAACCTCTGAGAAAATGGTTTTACTACTTTTTGAATACTGACTTTTGTCTAAATACTATAGTTATTTGATGAGTTATTACATTGTCAGCAACCCCCCAACACTATAGGGGCAAGTCTCATCTGAAGGATGAGGACATGTACTGTATCATATGTGATGTCCTATCACTCAGCTCTAGTGAGAGATCTCTCTCAGATCAAAAATCAAACCTAATTTGGACATCTATTCCTAGGCCTACATAATAAAAATTATGAAAGAAACTATTTGTCTAGACCCAGAGAAGAGATCCCACATCTAGAACCATTCTCATGTAGCAAGAAACAAAATGGTACCTACCAAGCAGAGATAGGTCAGAAATTGGAAAAGAACCGGACCAGAAAACATAAGTGAATTTTGTACTGACACTTTGAAGTAAGAATCCTAGGAAACAGGATATGAACAGAACAAGGCAGGTAACTTAAGGGGCTCATTATCTACTAAAGGATCAAAAGCCTGCACTTTGTAAACTTGATTCTTCTCCTTTTATTTTAATTCCTTTATGTTCTTTTCTACTAAACAAACTTCCTTTCAAAAAACTCAGCATGCTTCATTATATTCCACAAATGAGTGAGATCTTGTGATATTTATCTTTCTCTGACTGGCTTATTTCACTTAGCATAATGCTCTCCAGGAGTGAGGGGGTGGGGATAAGAGATCAACCAAAGGACTTGTATGCACGCATATAGGCATAACCAATGGACAGACAACTAGGGGGGTGAGGGCATGTGTCAGAAGTTGGGGGTGGCTGGGGGGAGGTCAATGAGGGAAAAAGGAGACATATGTAATACTATATGTAATACTTTAAGCAATAAAATAAAATTTTTAAGAAAAACTTAGCATGCTTTAGATATGCTAAAGGAAAAGTGATTCTGCCATAACTGGGCAAGAGTTGTAAAGGCAAAGGTATACCCAACCTCCCTCCCCACCCCCTACCCCCTGCCCAACTTTGGAATAGTGATGATGACCATAATCAAAGTGAAATCGCTTTAAGGGATACAGAGAACCACACAAGACCAAATTATGGCACGCAGTTCCAACACCTAAATGTTCTACTTAATAAAGCTTCAGGTTTTTGTATTTTACACTGGAGGTAGGCCCTCACAATCACAACCCACATTTTAGGTTTTTCAAAATGTCATTTGAAGTCCCTAAATAATATTTACTAGTACTAAGTATTACTGATAGAAAGCAACATTTCAACCTATGCTTCCAAAAGAAAAGTTTTAAAAAAAGTTAAATACGCATATTAATTTCCAATAGTATTATCCCTTTAATTATGTTCCATGTTTACAGAATAATTATGTAAACTATGTCACATTACAATCATGTTTCCTAATTCATCCATTTGAAATGAAATAAACTTTATTTTTTAAACAGTATGATAAATGCACACTTCTTAAACTTCTAAAAGTTCTGCAAGAGTTTAGACTAAAACTACACCCCCCCCAAAAAAAAATCAACAGCAATTAAGTAAATAAATTAGAAGTCACTTTATAAACCAAGGAAATCAATCTTCTTCTGGCATTTGTTTAAAATTTTAAGAAGAAAAACAGAGACTACTAGAACTGTTTTCTTGATCATTCATTACATAAAAAAAGCAGAATTCCTAATTCCTTATTCTTTAAATCCAAGAAATTTACCCAATTTGAAATAAAGTAAATTTTAATCTAGATTGTACTTTATATTATCTCACATGGAATTGACTAAAATCAGTATTAATATAAAATAACATTCCAACATCCTGACACATCATTTTTAACAAGTTTAAATTCTACCTATTGTGTATTTTACTACATTTCCCTCTTAGAATACTGGAGTTATGTATCAGTTTTAATAAGGAAACTGTTGGTAAAACTAGAAAGCCCATACATCCATTAATATGCTAGTCTGTGGACCATGGCATGGAAGTAGGTGTGACACTTCTAATGATTACATTTAATGACCCACTATCGAATTTTTTGCTTTTTGTCCTCTAAGCTCTAGCATTCTTAAAGTTTTAAGACAGGGAGAAGCAACATATGTTCCATTGAATTGGAAGTTGAGACCACCAACTGACCATTCCAGGCTCTTTATGCTACAAAGCAAAAAGCAAAATAAGGACCTACCCAGTTTGTCAGTGGTTAGAGCATTGCCCAAGGACTGAAGAGTCCAGGGTGTGATTCCAGTCAAGGGCTCAATCCCCAGGGCTGGTTGGGGTTTGTGCGAGACAACCAATTGATGTGTCTCTCTCACATCAATGTTTCTCTTTCTCTGTCTCTCCCTCTCCCTCTACTCTCTCTAAAAATCTATGGGGGAAAAATATCCTCTCGTGAGGATTAACAAAAACAAACAAACAAAAAGCAAAATAAGGAGGTTAGTGCATTGACTGAGGTGTTAACCTGACCAGGTCTGAAAGACAAGACTAATGAAAGCCAAGATTAGATGGACCACCAGGGACACCCTGCAGAGCTTCCTCACACGGTAATACAGGGAAAATGCTAAAAAAACAAATTTATTTAAAGGTGAAACAAGCCTGAGAATCAAGAGCTCAGGCTCCTTAGAACTGAAGATTCTGATCACCCCACCAAACTAAAAACTACCAGATAAAGTGCTCGTTGAAAAGATGGGGAAAGTGGAATGAGTAATGGAAAAAATTCTTAAATTACCTATAACCTCATGATCAGTTACAGAAACAAAATAGGTTCCTACCACTATTTCCTTACTTCCTCCATCACTTTCTTTCACTTTCTATCTCTTTCTTTCCCTCTTCTATTATAAAATGGCAACATTAATAATGTTGAAGTGTATTGAATGCCAACTATAATCAGGCACTGTTCTAAATGCTTATTAACATTTAGTCCTTAGAAAAAGCCTACAAAGTTATTACTCCTATTTAAAAGTTGAGGAGACTGAGGCCCAAAGAGCTTAAAGGTTAAGATTAAGTCTCACAGCTTAATCAGTAAGTGGCAGAGACAGATTTTGAATCTATGTAGTCTACTTCCAGAGCCTACAGTCCAAACCACTTCTTTATACTATCTCATGTTATACTTCCTATTTAATCTATAGGTTGCCAAATAATGAAATAGAAATGTGAAAGAACAAGAGAATTAATGGCTTTAATCTATTAATCCAGGATTCATTTGGTAGTAGTGACACTGTAATATCACCTCTTCATGCAGTAGCTAGATAGTAGTTTGGCTACTCCCGGAAAGATAATTGCTTTTTATAAATTACATATATATGGTAAGAATAACTCAGTGTGTGTATGCGTGTGTGTATGTGTGTGAGTGTGTGTGTATGTGTATTGTGTGTTGTATACATGAGAGAGAAGAGAACTGGGCAGTGAAGGGGTGAAATGTAATGGAAATTAATTGTATTAATCTATCCAGCGTCTCTTCTACTATCTACTCAACTAGAGGCTCGGTGCACGAATTCATGCACTGGAGGGGTCCCTTGGTGTGGCCTGTGGGGAATGGGTTGTAACTGGCAGTCCAATGCTGCCTACCACTCCTGCCTATCACTCCCACTCATCCCGGCCCACTGAGCCTGCTGTGGGCTCATGCCCAGTCAGTTCTGATTGGGAGAGGCTATGCCACCGCAGCCCATACCGAGAGGAGTGAGGGCGGGGTCAGTACTCTATAGGCCCTCTGAGCAGGTGATGGTATGCCCTTGTCGGCCCGGGATCCGGATCTGTCCTGCTAACATTCATGCTGGTTGTCGGGAGCAACCTGGAAGCCACTTTCATATTGTTTCTTCCTTGTGGGGTGTCTAGGGAGGGGAAGCAGCCGCAGTGCCCGAGGCTGACTTCCAGGAGGCTAGTGATGCTGTCGGGTCCATGCCAGCAGAGCCGATTTGTTGGTGCCTGGTCCGTTCTCCAGAGATTGGACCTGCAGCCTGGTGGGGTCAGTCAGCTGAGCGGCACTCTTGCTGCGGAAGCGCTGACCACCGGGGGGCAGCTCAGGCTTTGAGCGTCTGCCCTCTGGTGGTCAGTGTGCATCATAGTGACCAGTCTACCAACTGGTCATTTGGTCGCTTAGGCTTTTATATAGAGACTAGAGTCCCGGTGCACAAAAATTTGTGCACTCGGGGGGGCAGGGTGGGGGGCCCTCAGCCCGGCCTGTGCCCTCTCACAGTATGGGACCACTTGGGAGATAATGACCTGCTGGCTTAGGCCTGCTCCCAGGTGGCAGAGGGCAGGCCCAACCCCTAGGTGCAGCCCCTGGTCGGGCTCAGAGCAGGGCTGACTGGGGAGTTGGGGCACCACCCCCTGTCATGCACAGAGCAGGGCGGATCGGGAGGTTGCGATGCCACCCTCAGTCACCCTCAGGATAGGGCCGACTGGGGGGTTTGGGCACTGCCCCCTGTCACACTCAAGGCAGGGTTGATGGGGAGGTTGTGGCGCCACCCCCTGTCACGCACAGAGCAGGGCCAATCAGGGGGTTGGGGCGCTGCCCCCTGTCACTCACAGAGCAGGGCCTATCAGGGGGGTTGGGGCTCCGTACCCTGTCACACACAGAGCAGGTCTCATCAGGGGGTTGGGGAGCTCCCCCGTCATGCACAGAGCAGGGCCTGTGGGAGGTGGGGGGTTGGGGCACCGCACCCTGTCACACACAGAGCCGCAGGGCGATCAGGGGGTTTGGGCGCTGCCCCCTGTCATGCTTATCCCGGTGCCGGGAGGCCTCGCGGCTCTGCTCATCCTGGTGCTGGGAGGCATATTACCCTTGTACTATATAGGATAGAGGCCTGGTGCACAGGTGGTGGCCAGCTGGTTTGCCCTGAAGGGTGTCCTGGATCAGGGTGGGGGTCCCCAACTGGGGTGCCTGGCCAGCCTGGGTGAGGGGATGATGGCTGTTTGCAGCTGGTCACACACCCTTCAGGGTGGGGGTCCCCACTGGGGTGCCTGGCCAGTCTGGGTGAGGGGCTGAGAGGGCTATGTTTTCAGGCTGGCAGGTGACTGAAGCTCCCATCCACTCCTTTTTTTCTTTTTTTCTTTTTTGTTCTGGGCCAGCTTTAGCTCTGAGGCTTGGCTCCAGCTCTGAGGCCTCGGCTACTGAAAGCAGGTATCTGGTTTGTTTGGGTTCTATAATCGAAACACTGTTTCAATTCCAGCTTTGAGATCCCAGCTGGCTGAAAACAGGTTTCTGGGGTTTTGTTTAGCTTCTATATTTGTAACAATGTTTCAAACTGCAAGGTCAGAAGCCGGCAGTGGCAGGCGGGGAACGTTGGAGTCCTCCGTCACTGAAGCAAGCAACCCTCATGTAAGCTTCAAGCTGCCTGGCTGCCGGCCACCATCTTGGCTGGCAGTTAATTTGCATATCGCCCTGATTAGCCAATGGGAAGGGTAGCGGAGATACGGCTAATTACCATGTTTCTCTTTTATTAGATAGGATAACAGCATAATCATCAGCCTTGGGATAATCAAATCCTAGTCCCCTTCCCAAACTTTTGTGGGGGTTTTAAATTTTTTTAATTTTTAATTTTATTGAATTTATTGGGGTAACATTTTATTGAATTTATTGGGGTAACATTGGTTAATAAAATCCTATAGGTTTCAGGTGTATAATTCCATAATACATTATCTGCATATCATACTGTGTGTTCACCATCCAAAGTCAAGTCTCTTTCACCATTTATCCCCCTTTATCCTCTTTTACCTCCCACCATCCCCCTTCCCCTTTCGTAATCATCACACTGTTATCTGTGTATATGAATATTGGGAGTTTTCTGGCTTATTCCTTTGAACTTTTTCACATAGCCCCATAACCCCTCTCCCCCCTGACAGCTAAAATACTTTGTCATTTTTAAAGTAGCTTACAAACACAGGATATCCTATCCCTGGAGTCACAGGTGTTGTTCCATAATGAAACCAGACCAATCAGATTCTCCCTACTGAGAATTTTAATCCTCAGTGGAGTCACATGTAAAAAATGAAAGGAAGCAAAAAAAATTTTTTTAAACATAAGAAGAAGAGGAGGAGGAGGAGAAGGAGAAGAATAATAAGAAGAAAGGTAGTGGGGGGAAGGAGGAGGAGTTTAGAAGGAAGAGAAGGAGGGGGAGGAAAAAAGGGAAGGGGAAGAGAAAGAGGAGAAAGAAGAAAACATAAATAATTATATTTAATGGCAGTTTCCTATTAAAAGGTGCAGAAGTTTCTACTACTGAAATACCTAGAATTATCTTAATCCTATCCTGCCTTAAGATTTGACTATTCAATATTCCTTAAGTCTATGAGCTTCTCAAGTGCCTTTCCTATAAATCTTTCATTGTAAACCTAGTATCTATCTTTAAAATCTATTTTATTGCTTGTAACCAAAGTTTACTAACTGACAGAATGGTTGCTATTCTCAACTCAGGGAGATTAATGCAAAAGTTAAGGCCTCAGTGACTACATCTGGGCCTCCAACAAGGGAGAGAAGGTCTGGTGGGGTCAGCGAGGAATCATTATTTATGAAGGCAAAGTGTGTGGAAAGAGTAGAAGGTGATATTCGTGATTATGAAGATATTAGAGTTACATCACTGTTTTATAACATGAATAGAATATCAAAAATATTCTTGTCACACACTCTTGAGAATGTATAGAATTAGGAGACGTATGATTCAGTTTCAATAGTTCTGGCTTTACAATATGTGTTCAACCAGCATTGAAACACATTTACTTTCTCTTATTCTAACTACAAAATATAGATCAAAAGGAGAAAGAAGATAATATGAAGGGAAAAAAACAATTGACATGATAGTCTATTAAAGGAAGAAATCATAATTTTTATTAACTTATATAATTATCACAATTATTATAAACTTACCTTTTTTTCAGAAACATTATAGTGTGCTGGACCTGGAATAGCTTCCCCAGTGTTAGGGGCATTAGTGTTTCTGGCAGCCAAAGAAAGGAATGGTGCATAGCCACCTATAAAAGTAAAATCATATCGGCGGCAGGTAAGGTTCCAATGATTTCAGAGAAAAAGCGCTCAAAATGCATAAAATCATTTATTAACTTCAACTGTTGATACTATACTATCAGAACTAACAGCTAGCTACAGAAGTTGTTGCATTTTAAATATTCTAATGTAAAAGCAGAATTCCTATTAATATATGTATTAAATATAAGAACCTGAATTTGCAAAAATACCTAAAGAAAATAAGAAACAAAAGTCTGTTTTCTTCTAAGCATATGTGGTTGGAATAAAAATGGCAGTTATATTTAGCTGATAAAGTATTTTCATCCTCCAAAGACCACTGTTTTGTATTTTGGAACAGCATTTTTTATTTGTAGACAATGACATATATAAGTTTATAGAGACAGCCTAAGTAGAAATAACTTAAAGTGAGTTTATAACAAGTAATTAATAATGTCCCCTTGCTTTGATACATAGTTGGATTGCCTCACCCCAAAGGTTTATAAATAAAAGTTATAAATTTCACTGTAAAAGCAATCATAAACTTAGACAAACTTAGTAGATAGACAGTAGACAGACTTAGCCTGCTGAAAAACTGATAAAATATTTCAAGAACTGTATCAAGAAAATTAGTATAGTTAAAGCAACATAGATATTAAAGAAGAGATGGGAGCCCTAGCCAGTTTGGCTCAGTGGATAGAGCATCAGACCATAGACTGAAGGGTCCCAGGTTGGATTTCAGTCAGGAGCACTTCCCTCAGCTGTGGGCTCAATCCATGGTCCCAGGCACATGTGGGAGACAACCAAGTGATTTGTTCATCTCACGTGGATGTTGCTCTCTCTGTCTCTCCCCCTCCCTCCCACTCTCTCTCTAAAAAACAAAATCAATAAAAAATCAATAAAAAATATTGTTTGGTGAGGATTAACCAGAGAGAGAGAGAGAGAGAGAGAGAGAGAGAGAGAGAGAGAGAGAGAGAGAGAGAGAGAGAGAGAGAGATGAGATGGAAAAGAATAGAGCAGCTATAGTCAACCGGTAATAAAAGAATGAAAGTGAGGACTCAAAACTGGTAAGAATTTTATACACTAACAGAAACTGAAGGCTAGTATGAAATTTTATGGTGATAATTAGAATAGTTTAAAATCTCACTAATCAGTCTAATTATAAAAGGTATTCATTTTAAAACTAGAAATAACGTGTTTCTTTTGAGGCCCATGTGTATTAAAATGTGACTGAAATCAAATATTATTTATTTATGTTAGGTATTACAGCATAAAAGAAGCGAGTAAAATATAGACCTTACCCTTAAAAAGCAATAGTCTATCAAATATTAAGAAAACAACTAAAATAATTTTATTTTTTTTATTTTTTTTATTTTTTTATTTTTTTTATTTTTTTTTTATTAAATCTTTATCCTTTAAGAAGAGGAAGAGGAAGAAAAAGGTAAAGATACAAATTATGAACAACAAATATGCATCTATCAACAAGTGAATCTAAGAATCAAGTGAATAAATAATCTGATGAACAGAATGAACTGTTGATTATAATAGAATCAGGGACATAGAAAGGGAATGGACTGACTATTCTTGGGGGGGAAAGGGGTGTGGGAGATGCGGGAAGAGACTGGACAAAAATCGTGCACCTATGGATGAGGACAGTGGGTGCGGAGTGAGGGCGGAGGGTGGGGCGGGAACTGGGAGGACGGGAGTTATGGGGGGGAAAAAAGAGGAACAAATGTAATAATCTGAACAATAAAGATTTAATTAAAATAAAAAAAAACAAAACAAAAAAAAAACAATGCCTGAAATAAAGTAAGGATTCCAAAAAAAAAACTCAAATCAATTCTAAAATGAAAAGTACCACTGGATAGAATTAACAACAAAATTTTTGTGAGTTAATAAAAGAGTTAATAATATGTGAAGTGGTACAGTATTTTTTGAAGGTAGATTGTGATAAGTTAGACAAACCCTAGAGCGGTGGTTCTCAACCTGTGGGTTGCGACCCCTTTGGGAGTCGAACGACCCTTTCACAGGGGTCACCTAAGACCATTGGAAAACACATATATAATTACATATTATTTTTGTGATTAATCACTATGCTTTAATTATGTTCAATTTGTAACAATGAAAATACATCCTGCATATCAGATATTTACATAATGATTCATAATAGTAGCAAAATTACAGTTATGAAGTAGCAATGAAAATAATTTTATGGTTGGGGGTCACCACAACATGAGGAACTGTATTGAAGGGTCGCGGAATTAGGAAGGTTGAGAACCACTCCCCTAGAGCAACCACTAAAAAAATAAAACAAAGAATTATAACAATAGTGAAGACAAAAACAGAACAATTTAGCCCTGGCTAGTGTTACCCAACCGTTAGAGCATCAGCACGTGCACCAAAGGGTTGAGAGTTTGAATCCTGGCCAAGGGCATGTACCTGGGTTGCAGGCTTGGGGTGAGGGCAGGAGCAAGCAATTGATGTGTCACTCTCACATCAATGTTTCTCTCTCTCCCCCTCGCTCCCTCCCTTTCACTCTTTCTAAAGATCAATGGAATACAGATCTTGTAACATAGAAACCCACATCTGAAACCTATATGATCATGCTGACAAATTTCACCCCAATAAATTTAATTTTTTTTTAAACAATGGAGACCTAGCCGGTTTGGCTCGGTGGATAGAGCATTGGCCTGTGGACTGAGGGGTCCAGGGTTTGATTCCAGTCAAGGGCATGTACCTTGGTTGCCAGCACATCCCTAGTAGGAGGTGTGCAGAAGGCAGCTGATTGATGTTTCTCTCCCATCGATGATTCTAACTCTCTATCCCTCTCCCTTCCTCTCTGTAAAAAAACAATAAAAATAAAAAAAATTAAAAATCAGTGGAAAAAAATATCCTCTGGTGAGGACTAACCAAAAAAAAGTAAAATAAAATAACAACAACAAAACAAACAAAAAAAACACAGAATAATTTAAAAAAAAAAACTCAACTCATTCAATGAAAGTTGGGAAAGAAGAAAAAAGAAATAAAGAATGGATGAGATGAATAGAAAACAAATAGCAAGAGAGTAAATTTAAATGTAAAAATATTGATAATTAAGTGGAAGAATTCCAAACACCTCAATTAAAAGGTAGATTATCAGACTGAATGAAAAAAGCAAAACCCCCATTTTATGCTGTCTACAGTAGACCTTCTTAAAACATAAGGACACAGGTTCAAAATAAAAGGATGAGAAAAATATACCATGTATCCATGAATCCATGAAAATTGTTTTGACTATATTAAAATCAGATGAGGAAAAGCAGGGATAAGAGAGACATTTCATTATGATAAAGGGATCACTTCATCAAGAGAATTTAATAATCTGTAATGAAAAGCAAAAACTGATAGCCATAAAAATCAGAATAGTGCTTATCTATAGGGGAACGGAAAAGGATTATGATTAAAAAGGAAATTTTGGCAATCTTATATTTCTTGTGTATTCACTTTTTAAGCCATAAATTTATATTTTATATGCTTTTCTTCATAAGTATTTCTCACAATTAAAAGTCTATTTCTTCTAATTTAAGTTCATACAGACACTAAGTTAATGAGACCTAACATGTGAGAAATATAAGAAACCTAAGCTCAGGCTAGTTCTGAGGCTGCTGTTATCCAAGCATGCAGAGATTCTAACTGAATTTACCTAGACAAATGTAAAATTAAATGCAAAATGCTGAAATTTATATAAAAATGCAAAAACAAAATACACAACAGCCCCATGAATTCAAGACTCATCAAATCTTCACTGAAGTTTTCCAAAGGTAATTATTTAGAATCTTTCATCAATGGGCTAACAGTTTATATGAAACATTGAGTTCAAATAAAACCACAAGAAAATTAAAATGTTTATACTGATGATCTCCATGAGAGAATGGAGTTTTCTGTTTTATTCATAGCACTAGAGGCCTGGTGCATGAATTCATGCATGGATGGGGTCCAGCTGGCCCACCCTGATGGGTGCCGATCGGGCCAGGCCAGCTGGGAATAAGGAACACGGAGGTTGGCCAGCCCCCCGATCAGACCAGTTGGCCAGCTGCAGTGCACGTCATAACGACCAGTCATTCCAGTCATTCTAGTCATTCCAGTCATTCTAGTCATTCCGGCGTTCTGGTTGCTTGGCTTTTATATAGACTATACCTAATGTTTACAATTAGGGTGACACACTGTCCTAGTTTACCCAGGAAACAGGACTTTTAGGGCTAAAACCAGGACATGTCTAGATAAACCAAGATAATTGGTCATCCTATCATAGTGCCCTGCATATTAAACAATAAATATCAAATTAATAGGTGATATTCTAAATTACACCTTTAATAATTTATTCAACAATACTGAATACTTTATTAGATGTCAGAGAGGCAGTGAGGGTACAGTAATGAAGAAGCTAAAACCCTGGCCTCAAATAGTGGGAAAGCCAGACAAATAAGCAAATAATTACACTATAAATAGTGCTGCTATTAATTATGGTATAAAATTTAGGAGATGAGAGTTTTGAGGAATTAGAGTTGGTGGAATGTAACAGAAGTTTTATTTGGGGCATATGGACCTATTGGCATGTAAAGTGTGTAACTACAAATGATAAACTGTCAGGTAGGAAGAAAATAAGAATATAGAAGAGGAAAAGATTTCAAAAGAAATAAATTTATTTTGGGATATATTGAGTTTGAGGTGCCAACAGCAGGAGATAAATCAAACTGGCATGAAGCAATAAAATCAGTCCATTCTGAGAAAGAGGGTGGGCAGCATGTGATTAAAAATAAATTCCACCCCTACAACTATAACCACAAAACAAAAAAAGAGTATTCCCAACATAAAAGTAGATCTTTGAGCATATACAGCAGCAATTTTCAACCTTTTTCATCTCATGGCAATTTTAGTAAAGTATTTACTAAAATTATGCAGCAAACCAAAAAATATATGTATATATTTTTACAGATCTGATAAAAAAAAAATAGGTATAATTTTGATTCAT